AGTCCAAAGACAAAGTGGGGACCTCAAGGGCTCCCCTTATTTAAAAGCTCGCAGGACAAGAAGAATTAACTACCTAGATTTGAAAGAGATAGGTGCATGTCTCCCACATCTCAGCGGTGCCTGYGACTGACAGGTTGTTGATAGCTGCGAGCAAACACACGTGCCGAATCYGTTAGTGCGCCAAGCGCAAAATTTGGAAAAGGCACGCATTTTGCACCAATCACGGAAATTGAAGGAAGCGCACATTTTTGAAAATTCAAAAGCCCGCCAAAGCGAGACTAACTAAACACGCCAAATCAAATAAGCTGAACTGAATGCATGGACCAAGCAATGGAAAGCTCAACTGGACCGACCAAACCTGTAGACAGAAGCTAGGTAAACCCAAACTGCCCCCAAAAAAAACTTCTACTCTCTTCATTTGCTAAATAATGACTTGAGAGTGGGGGGCTATTAATGAGGGGCGTTTTGGTTAACCCACTTTATGATGGACACGTGGACACTATCAGTGACGTAGCATCCCACTTAGCAAGACAGCTCTCCGGCTCGACATGTAACAGTCAATATCAAGTACGAAGCCAAGCTAGAGCAAGATCGGCCCACAACGTTCGACACAATAGAATAGCTCGCTAGAGTAACACGTGGCAGACAGCTTTAGATATACGACCAAGCTAGGGCGAGTTCGATCCTCTGTCAGCCCCCAGCTCGCCTGAAATTGCCCTGCAAACAATGCTTGCGTAAGCGCTATAACCGCAACACAGAGAACGGTCCACCAAGTTGACCGCCCCTAGACCAGTAGGCGACCCGTAACCGCCACATGGATCTAGCAAACAACTGACTAGTACACCCCTAGATTTAGGAAACAGCTCCGTGCAAGTCTCAGAGACATTACCAAATAGCACCTGAACCTCAGGTAGCTATAAAATGACCCCAAGACCACTCCAAAAGGTGTGCGCACATAAACTCTAACTCTCTCGTATCCTCTCTCATATAGGATCACTCACTAACTTAAGCATCGGAGTGTCCCCCTTGGTAAAAATATACCTAGGCACTCTAACCTCTCTTCCTTTTTAGCTCTCAACTTGGACCCCCAACTCGACCTCATAGCTCAGCACTGTAGCTCGACTCACACGACAGGCTCAACCCGATCTGAGCCACCTCATCAGACCTAAGGGAGTGGACAGATATTGTGCCTCATCTATTGGTGGGACCATTTTTGGGTTCATCAGAACTCTTGATTTTGGCCTTTATAAGCTTTCTCATGATGAACCGACTCCCCTAGTTATTAGTAGTCCTCAAGCATATATTGGTGAATGGGTTGATCTTGACATTTGGCATTAAAGGTTGGGTCATCCTGCTCCCAACATAGTGAAGCACGTAGTGCAGAAGAATAAGTTGAGAATCTATTGAAGTGAAGTTCCCTCTATACTCATAAAAGTGAAGTTCCCTCTATACTTATCTCTTTCAAGACACAAGTTGAGAATCTATTGAATCACAAATTAAAAATATTGCAAACTGGTGGTGGCTCAGAATATAAGAAACTGGGTTCTTTTCTTGATCAACATGGTATTATTCATTGACTCTCATGCCCACACACTCCACAACAAAATGGGTCTGCTGAGAGGAAATATCGTCATATTATTGAATTCGGCTTAACCTTGATGGAAAAAGCATCAATACCACCATGTTTTTGGACTAAGGCAAACTGTAGTATTTCTCATCAATAGATTTCCTACGAAGGTTCTTAACTATAGAACTCCATGGACCTGTCTTTTTGGCAATGACCCAAATTATCTTTCTCTACGGGTCTTTGGGTGTAAGTTCTTCCCTTACACTCGACCTTATGGTGATGATAAACTAGATTACAAAAGTTTATCTTGCATTTTCATGGGATATTCAAATTGTCACAAAGGCTATAAATGCTATCACGTATCATCAGGTAAAATGTTTATCTCTCGGCATGTTGTTTTCAATGAATCACAATTCCCTTTTGCTATTCACACCTCTCCCAGCATACCCTCATCACCTCTTCATTTTCATGATACTTTCACTCCTCTGTTGCTCTCCCCACTCCACAACCATCACCCCATGATCCTCCTATCCCAACCCCATCTAACCCATCCAATGCATCCCTATGCTCCACCATTGACACACCTTGTCCATCCAATGAACCTCTTTGCCCACCAGCACATCGTCACTCGCAAACCAAAGCTATATCTATCGACCAAATACCCCTTACCTTTCAACACAACATAACCCAAATTTGTCCATCAAGCCTTACTCCTACCTCAATGGCATGCTATTATGCAGGACGAGATAACTTTACTTCATGCTAATAACACCTGGACACTCTGCCCCTTACCCACTGAGGCCAATGTCGTCCGATCTAGTGGGTATTTCAGGTAAAACATGATCTTGATGGTATCACTGATCGCTTCAAAGCCAGGTTGGTAGCCAAGGGCTACACACAACGTGAAGGTCTCGACTATACAGACACTTTCAGCCTTGTTATTAAGCCAGTGACTCTTCAGGTGGTTCTACACCTTGCCCTTGCCAATGATTGGATTTTACAACAGCTTGATGTAAACACTACTTTCTTACATAGGGATCTCCAAGAGGTTGTATACATGTCTCAACCCCCTAGCTTCATTGATTCTAAAAAGCCTAAGCATGTTTGTCGCTTCCACAAAGCTCTTTATGGGCTCAAACAGGTTCCTCGGGCTTGGTGTTCCAAGCTTCGTGACTTTCTTGTTGCCTCGGGTTTTCAGCCCTTTATATCAAATTCCTCTCTCTTCATTCAACATTCAACTGTTGGCATCTTGTTGGTACTCGTTTATGTTGATGACATAATTATTATCGGGTCTTCATCTCAGAATGTTCTTTCTATCATATCCACCATTGGTTCTAAATTTTCTATTAAGGACCTTGGCACACTCAATTATTTTCTGGGCATCGAGGTTTCTTACTCTAGTACCCGCATTCATCTCTCCCAACGGAAATACATATTTGATCTACTTTAAAAATCAAGCATGGATTCCGCCAAACCCATCAACATGCCTATCACTCTTGACATATATCTCTCTCTCTTGGTGGTACACCTCTCCAAGACCCTACTAATTATAGAAAGCTGGTTGGTGCTCTCCAGTATTTGACGATTACTCATCCAGAGATTTCTTTTATTGTCAACAAATTATGTTAATACCTACACCATCTCACCATTGATCATAGTAGGACCCTCAAACCAGTCGAGAAAAACTATTCCCATATGGAACAACAGTGTTTGGCGTTGGTCTTTGCTACACAGAAGTTCAAGCACTACATCCTAGGTCAAAGAGTCAGACTCATCGCACGGAATGACCCAATAAAGTTCTTCATGGACAAACCTCCCCTCTCTGGCAGACTCGTTAAATGGATGATGCAACTTAGTGAGTATATGATAGAATATACTCAGCCAAGGGCTATTAAGTGTCAAGCAGCAGCAAAGTTGTTGGTCACCTTCGCCTCAAGTGGTGACTTTCCTATATTAGATGAAATACCAAGAGACATACCTATGATTGCCGTGGCCAAAAGTAGTGAGTGGATCTTGACTTTTGACGGAAGTAGCACTAGCGCCTCGCCAGCACTGGGTTACCCTAACCTCGCCTGACGAACACACATTTGCCTATTCTTTCAAGCCCCACTTCCCCTGTTCTCACAACATAGTAGAGTATGAGGCCCTAGGTCTTGGTCTGCTCAAAGCAATAGAGTCCGACGCAAAGAAAATCAAGGTGGTCGGAGACTCCAAATTGGTGATTGGCCAGCTTGATGGAAGTACAATAGTAAAGGAATCAACTATCTTTCCATACAGAACCTTGATTCAGAAGCTAGTCCGCAACCTGGAGGTAGATTTCAAGCATCAAAATAGAGCCAAGAACAGGTTTGCCGTTGCACTAGCGACTCTAGGATCCAAAATACCGTCCAACAAAGAGCCCATAAGATCACCATCCAGTCTATAGATAAGCAATCAATCGTCAAATTGAAAGATTGGGTAGAAGGAGATGATTAAGTAACAACGGATGATTGGAGATATGACATAGTCCAAAAGTTAAAGAGTCAAGCCATAGGAACACAGGACGACAAGTTGGTCGCAAAGTTTCAACTAGTGAATGGGGTACTGTACCATAGACAGTCGAACAGGGTGAGAACAAGATGCTTAGGAAAGGATGAGGCCGAAGTAGTCCTGAATGAAGTGCGTAAGACCCATTATGGAGACATCACAAGCACCCTATTTTGAAAATTACAAAGGTTAGGGTATTATTGCCCTGTGATGAAGTCAGAATCCTCTAGACTATAGTGGGAATGCATTAAGTGCATCCCATAAGTCAGAATCCTCTAGACTATAGTGGGAATGCATTAATGCATTAAGTGCATCCTCTAGACTTGTGGTTTGTGAGGTGGACTGGAGAAGAATGTATATAAGCTATCTGCAAGATCATACACTGCCCATTGATACTACATTGAGAAGAAGGTTATTATCTAAGGCTAGGCTGTTCTATCTCCAAGACGGGATGCTATACAGGAAGTCATATACAGGGAAACCTTTGCGATGCCTGGCTGGCGATGAAATTGAAGAAATACTAGAGGCAGCTTATGGCTCCGAACCAGCCGCTCACCAGGGACAGCTAGCACTATACACTCATGTCTTGCACCTAGGTTTCTACTGGCCAACTATGATGGAGGATACTCAGAGGCATGTGCGAAAATGTCACAAGTGCCAAATCCATGGTGAAAGAATCCACAAACCCACCAACAGCCTTCACCCAATCATCACACCCTGACCCTTTCATACTTGGAGAGTAGACCTCATAGGCAAGATACATCCCCCTTCCAAAGGGTACTGCTTTATCATAGTGGCCACAAATGATTTCACCAAATGGGTAGAGGCCATACCTTTGCGAAGAATCTACGCAGACAACATAGCCAACTTCCTAAGGCAAAACATAGTTCACAGATTTAGAGTCCTAATGAAGATCCTGACAGACAACGGCCTATCCATAAAAAATCAAGAAGTCTGTGATCTTATAGGGCAATACAGTGCAAGACTAAGGATATCAACAACATACTATCCACAAGGCAATGGACAAACAGAAGCCACAAACAAGACCTTACTAAGGATGTTAAGTAAAACAGTGGCTGATAATCAAAAGGATTGGACAGAAAAACTGTCAGAAACCCTTTGGACCTATCACACCACTATTAGGAAGAGAACACAAGCGATGCCCTACTCATTGGTATACGGCCAGGAAGCAGTACTACCAGCAGAAATACGGGCCGTATCTGCCCAAGTAGCCTTTGCAATGGATAAAAAGGTTACACCAGAAGACATGGACCACTTATTCGCAGATAAGCTTGAAGTTATTGATGAAGCCAGAAATTTGGCCATGCAAAAGCATACCAAATATAAACAAGCTCTAGCCACAAACTTCAACAGACTTTTGAGACCTAGAAACTTTAAAGAAGGAGACAAGGTGCTCAAAATGACGATAAATGTTAGACATGGCAAGTCTGCGGGAAAATTCACCCCAACATGGGAGGGGCCGTATGTGATAAAAGAAGCCCATGCATTAGGCTATTATGTGTTAAAGACTGTGGATATAGAGGAAGATGATGAAACAATCAATGGCTATTGGTTGAAACCATACTTCTAGTAAAATTGAACTTATGTAATTTCATTACTGCATGTACTCACTTCAGAAGTAAATGTATACTGCTTCAATATTTTTGTTTTCTTATGTGGTTGTACTTTACTTATGAATAATTGTACTCAATTCCTAGTACACATATCAACAGTTCACATTCTGTGATAAAGCCTTGATGTATCCATATATCTTATTGCTATGAGAAAATTGATGCTTTCAACGATACAATCTGTGTACTAACTTTTGAATATGCCTTCCATATATTCTCTTATATGGTAGAACCCTTAAGGGTGGACGTAGAGATGCAGCACCCCCCAAATCTGGTTATGGCAATGAACCTCGCCCGCGCCTTTGAATGGAAGATACAGCTTACTCAGGGACCCTTTAGCATTAGACGGTCAGCCACGACTTGGGCACCGTCAAGGCCAGCGGGAGTGTCTACCCCTGCGCCCACTAGGGAGCAGAGGACCCACACCGCTAACCCCTCCAGATCAGTATCATGGATAGGGAGCAGCAGGGTGTCACCTCCCATCCGGCGTCTGTCCCGAGCCGAGATGGTAGAACGGCACGCGAAGGGGCAGTGCTTCAATTGCGATGATCTATACTCCGCAGGGCATAGATGCAAGAAACTATTCTGCCTTCTAGTAGACGAGACTGAAGAGGATGAGGAAGAGCCGTCACCAACTGAACCCGAGATTGCACTTCACGCAATTACAGGGATCAGAACCTCCCAGACGATGCAACTAAGGGCACTAGTGATGGGGAAACCCGTGTGCATTTTGGTAGACTCTGGAAGCACCCACAATTTCATCAGCAATCAGGTGGCCCACAAGTTATAGATGCCCATGGAAGTCAGGACACAACTATAGGTAGCCGTGGCGAACGGGGAAAGAGTCCACAGCCCCGGTATCTGCAAGAACACTAGGATTCAGGTTGAAAAAGTATCCTTCCAAGCAGATTTATTTGTACTGTCCTTGGATGAATTTGACATCGTCCTAGGCGTCAAATGGCTGATCACGCTAGGCCCAATCCTGTGGGACTTCACTGCCCTGACCATGACCTTCCAATTAGATGGCAAACCGGTTACTTGGCAGGGAACCCGGACAAGGACCAAGACACAACTGCATGCACTCCAGGGGGAGAATT